ATTCACTTAAAGAAAATAAAAACACTTTAAAATGATTTTCTTCTTATAAGTGTAAAAAATAAAATCAAAGACAAAAAATTGAAATGAATATTTCACCAGGGTTACCTCTACAATATTTTTGTTCTTAAATAATGTATGTGAGGTCTCCGTGTCAGCTTGTCATTAGGGCTGGGCGGTAGTGATGGGTAGATGAAGCATCATGATTCGTTTTGACACATTACCAAACTGTATCGATACGTGTTGATACTGTGTCACTGAATACTGACACCTGCTGGACCTTAAAAATCACTACAGGCAACCTAGTTGACAGACTCAACTGACACTGATTTGATGACCTATACAATAATATAATTAATAATAACAATAATATAATTTTAAGCCATTGTGTTTTATATTGTATTATTCCATACCTTCATTTACATTTAAAATATCTTTGATATTTTTTGATACAGTCTATAAATAATTTGAACATGTATCATAACATGAAAATCTAAGTGAGCGTGTTGTGAATGAGGATGCTTGTTAACTAGGATTTCATTTACAAACTTATTAAAAAAGTTTTTCCAATGTTTTCAAATTGAGTCTGTTACGCCTTTTTTTTTTATAGATACTGTATATCTTCTCCAGCTGTAGAAAACACCTGCTCACACAGCACAGATGAGACTGGAGTGCAGCATCTGCTTCCTGGAAGCTTGATGGTTAAAAATAAGATAAAGAATAATAAAAAAATAATGAAATATTCAATATAATAACTGAGTAAATTGCAGAATGTATACAAGTTTATCCTGGGTCTATCTGGGACTTCATTCTCATGTCGGTGTTATGGCCTATAATGGGTCAGCATTGAGGAAGAGATTTTGTTTTTTTTATAGGAAAGTTCTTTCTAACAAATGCAACATTTCACCTGCATAAAATAATGAGTAGTAAACACAGTCACTTTGAAATGAATTTGAATTCAGGTAGATCAATGTGGAAACTCTGGGGAAAAGGATGAAACACGGAAATTATAATACCTTATTTTCCGATTTGCATAGCCTACATGTCGAGATGTATGGATTGTCCATAATTTACACAGATTTCCTAGCCTCATTTTGCAGGTATATGGACATATACAGCAATTACACAGATTGTTTTCAACTTTCACAGATTTTTAAAAACTCAGTTTCATATTTAGGCTAAACCACAGACAGATGTCGCTGCACCACAGACAGATGTCTGCACCACAGACAGATGTCTGCACCACAGACAGATGTCTGCACCACAGACAGGTGTCTCTGCACCACAGACAGGTGTCTCTGCACCACAGACAGATATGTCTGCACCACAGACAGATGTCTGCACCACAGACAGATGTCTGCACCACAGACAGGTGTCTCTGCACCACAGACAGGTGTCTGCACCACAGACAGGTGTCTCTGCACCACAGACAGGTGTCTCTGCACCACAGACAGGTGTCTCTGCACCACAGACAGGTGTTTCTGCACCACAGACAGGTGTCTCTGCACCACAGACAGATGTCTCTGCACCACAGACAGGTGTCTCTGCACCACAGACAGGTGTCTCTGCACCACAGACAGGTGTCTCTTCACCACAGACATGTGTTTCTGCACCACAGACAGGTGTCTCTGCACCACAGACAGGTGTCTGCACCACAGACAGGTGTCTCTGCACCACAGACAGGTGTCTCTGCTGCACCACAGACAGGTGTCTGCACCACAGACAGGTGTCTCTGCACCACAGACAGATGTCTCAGCTGCGCCACAGACAGGTGTCTCAGC